TCCATCCATCCATCCATCCATCCATCCATCCATCTTCTCCCTTCAGGCTAGCAGTGGGGTCGGTGCCTACACGCAGAAAGACCCTGGGCGGGGAATTCAACCCAGAACCTCAGAGACATTAGTGCTAGAAACTGTGCCACCATGCAGCCCTAAAACGTAGCTTTTTAAAATTAATTTATTTATTTTTTATAAACCTGTAACTCTAGTATGTAACATCACTTTGATTGACACAAGTGTCCTAAATGAATGTAAAGTTACTGAATGACCGTACAATGCTGATTTACCTGAGGTGCATGACATGTATGACTGGCTCAGAGATGGCATTCTCATTCTTCCACATCCCTTATGGGTGGCTAGATGTTTAGCCATTGTGATTAGTTACTAATCTTACTTGCCTGCACAAAGCTTTATAAAACATTACAACGTCCACACCATGTTGTGATAAGTTCGCTCAGCCTCTTATTGCTGCACAGTTAGAAGTGTATGGGGATAGTGATGTGAATACTGATGCAAATGCTGCCAAACTGCTTCAGAGAGAGGAGCATCCGTCCTGCTGATTTTGTAATCATGCTTATGTGATTTGACCAGCTCTGATCCTGACTGATCTTGTCTCTGCACCTCAGGCCTCAGAGGTTTGTCATTTGCCATCACAGAACAAACTGCACCATTCAGAAAAAGCAATCAAACCAGAAAGATCAGGAGTAATGTTTTGGAACAGTTAACAAAAAATGGGTAAATACATAAAAAAATATATTTAAACTTTAAAATACATCACAGAGCACTGTTTAATAACTTGTTTGAAAATGGGAGCTATATCTGTATTCCAGCAAAGAGTGTTATGGAGAAAGACAGTTTGGAAACAGAAATATCTCAAAGAACCTGCTCTGGCCATATGAGACCAAAATTTTAATTTCTTGACAACATGTATGCAAGCTTTTAAACTGCCATAAAGATGCACTGAAAAATATAATTTATAGTTTTAATGTAATTTTTATTGTAAAATTTATTAAAAGGGAAATTATCCTTACACATAAATTATTATATTTTTTATTAAAAAAAATCATCCTCACTAAATAATAACAGCTTATTTAAAAAAAGAAAAAGATAGCTGTATCTATGTACACATGAATAAAAAGTTTTGAATTTTGGAAATATAGTCACATTAGGTCAGTGGTGTGCATAGACTGAGGCTGAAAAAAAATGGACAGATAAAGCACCTCCTCACCCCTGTATACGGACCCTAAACAAGCATTTTGGCTCCAGGGAGGGCACTTTAACATGCATTTTTCAGTAATCAGGCCAGGGTGGGTTGGACTGAGAGAACACAAAAATAATTTATTTTACTGCTGGATTTTCTTATTATATTTTAAATAAATAAGGAGGACCACAACTTTTGGACATCCCCTCAGTCATGTGCCATTGAAATCTTTCTTTTTAACAACATAATATGGAGTTGTTATTTATGTAGGACAAGCAGAGGTGTCAAGTAACAAAGTACAAATACTTCGTTACTGTACTTAAATACAGTTTTAGGTATCTATACTTTACAACATTACTTATTTTTCTTCCTATTTCTG